CCTTTTGAATTGGCAAATCAATGTTCCTTTTTTGTTTCAGGTCAAAATTGTTCAGGCGGACAACAATATTTTTGTTACCTGCCTCAAGCTCCACGGCTGCCGTGAGATCTCGAACCTTGGTATGTTGGTCCTTGTCACTAACTGCAAATCCCTGCGCAAATTCTCCCGCAGATCGTGTATGTTCGGTGTCAAAGACAAATTCTATCTCGACCTATTGAAAGTTGTTTTCATGTTGTTTCACATGTTATATTTATCTTGTTGTTTTGTTGTTACGACACCTTTATCTTATTTGTTAATTTTTTATAAATTATATTATTAATTTTTTAAGTTGCAATAACAAACCCTTTGTGTTACTTTTTAGATAATTTAATGGTTATGTATGTATATAAACTATTGATCAATCTTTTTTTTTTCTATTTTTTTTCTTGTGCATTCATGTTTGAAGAAGAAAAAGAAGAAGAAGGGTGGAAAAACGTGGAAAATAAAAGAAGATAGAGAAGGAAAAGAAAACAAGGGTGTGATTGTTTATAAATTCAACTAGTTTTTATTTGGTTTGGTTTTAACTATAGTTAATTTTCAAAAAAAAGTGGTATGGTTAGTTGTTAGTGGAATATTAAATTAATATTTAAATAAAATAATTAAAGTTGATTTGATGTAAAATAATCAGATGTTATGCATCCATTTGATATGGGGGCCCCTCCTGGCGTTCAATGGTTTGAACGACAATTGTATAATTTTTTTTAAATATTTAATCCAATTATTTTTTAATATTGAACGAGTGAATAAGGAGTCTTATATGTTTATATTTAAATGATTTAATAAATGTAAAAAAATATTTAAATAGAGAGATGTTTAGTGGAAAGATGATGCGGATATAATGTTGATGAGAGAGAGTGTAGTTGGTGATTAAATGAATGAGGATGAATGCGGATGCCTTTATAATTTTGTAATGTTTATATCATCTTACTATTTTTCTTTTATTTTTTTTCCTTTTTTCTTTCACTTTCAACTTCTTAATATGTTGAAAATCCTTTATCCTATATATGTGTTTATCTATTAGTTGAAAACTTTATTAAGTTTTGAAAAACTTGACCATATTTATTTAAACTATGTAATTACGTTCATCAATTAATAAAATTATTTATTTATTTATTTTTTCAAAATTCTAAACTTAAACCATTAAAATTTAAAATGCACAGTGTTTGGACAAATTTAGTAAAACCTTTATAGCCAAAGAAATGGATGGAGAATTTCCTTAATAAATAAATGTATTTCATTGCATCGCACGATTTATATACCATATTGAAAATATTATATTTTGATTTTTTTAATATTAAACAGATATCAATGCACAATCGATGCATTTATATCTATATCTATTAATATAAAAGGAGACTAAAAATTTACCTTAAATAGTGAGACAAAATCCAACCTAAATTTTTTATTTTAGTAAATATAGGAATTCCAGAATATTTTTAATTTTGTCGCCGTAAAAATCTGAAAAATAAATTTGAAAAATAATTCTAACTCAAAATATGATAATAGTTGATAATTATTTCAAATTTAAAATCTGATAATAAAATTTGTAGTACATCTGTGAGTGTCTATTTAGAAAGAAAATAACAAATATAATGTAATCCATATACGTAAATATATATGTCATTTAAAAAAAAAATCATGACATATCTAAGCAAATTATCAATTTGTTCAATTCCGTGCGGATGCCANNNTGAAAAAACTGCTACATATACGGATAATTATTGAGTTGTCCATATTACATGTAGACCCATTTTTTTTTAATGAAACATTTCTACATGATAATTTTAATTTATTTCTTATATGCATGTCGTCATATCTTTATGTCCAACATTCACATATTTTGATTTGGATTAATCTATACAATCTTTTAGCCTTCATTTTAAATAATAGAATATGTGTCATAATTTTTAAAGTGAAAATTGAGGTAAAGAATAATAAGATATATTTTTCAAAAGATTTTCTCAAAACTGTACAATATTTATTAATCTATTATCTAAAAGTTTTATACAAACAATCACTCGCCTTTTTGAGATACATTAACGTTTGAAATTAATTTAAATTTAGTATTCTTAAAAAAATGATTTAAAAAATAAATTATAAAATCTCATTAATATATTTTTTACATTAATTTGATCTAATTGATAAAGTAAATGGATACCCTTAAAATTTAAGGCAATTAATAAATGGATAAATTAATGAGAAATTTAAATTAGGGAATACTTTTAAATATGTGTGTGATCTCAAAAAACATACATATCAATATTTTGTATGTATACCTTGGAATGATATATACAAAATCACATTATAATCAATATTAGGATTATCCAACTACTTAATATGTTCATTAAGTTCAATATTTTTTTTTTAAATTACCTTAATATGTTTGTTTAATTCACTATTTAACTTTAAAACTAATTTTAATATTATTTTTCCGTACATTGCACGAGATATGCATTAGTTATTAAAAATGAATTTTAACTTTTATTTTAACAACAAATTAATGCACTTGTTTTAATTTTAACATCCATAGTAGGACATGAATATTGTAGTAGTTGTATAATAATTAAAAAGAATATGATATTAATTTAGTAATTTACAAACGTAATCTAAAGAGATAGCTGGCATCAAAATACATGTCGTTGCAAAATATAAAATTGTGCCAAATATGCATATAAAGTGTAAGTGTACTGTTTTGTAGTGTGAGTCTGTTAATTAGTCTCATCACATTTGAAATTATATATAGTGAGATGGAAACAAAACTTAAGTAATTTTTTGTCATTTCTCTGTGATGCATAATTATGTTTTCACAATTTTAAGTATGAGATAATCACTGATATTATTAATGTTACTATATTAATTGTTCCATATACATTTTTAATTTTACTTTTTATGTATCACCCCAAGTTTCATTCTAATTAATTCACCAACTATGAATAAAGATCCTTCAAGCAGGTGGTCGGTCCATCCACGCACTCTCTCTCTCTCTCCACACATATTTCGGAGTAGAAAATAAATAAAAATTCATAATTATTTTTTGTCAAGTGAAATCCAGAGGCGTCATGGTGGGTGGTTCCCCCGTGTCCCCGCCGCCCGATGTGACGGCTGCCCCTTGCGGCGGACCTTCCAAGTTCCTCGCCGACCTTCCATCTCGCGGCTTCTTCTCTTCCACCGTCGTTTCGTCCAACCCGGTGCGTATCACACACCTAAACCTAGGTTTCCCCCTTCTTTTTTTTTTTGATTATCTATTGATCATTCTTCAATGTTGATCTTTTGTTCGGGATTGTTATTTTCGTGTCTTTTAAACTGTGAATGTGGAATGTGGTGAATACCAGCGCTTGGTAGTTTTTTATGGAAGTTCATAGGCTTTATTTGGGTAAGGCGATTGCCCTTTTGACTCAGTGGACAAGCGAACGTTGCTGAATGCTGAGCTTAATGGAGTAATTCTCAATTATAGAGCATTCTATTAAAGAGATTCATTTTTTCAGATTTTGCACCATGCATCTAAGTAGAGCTGTGCGAAAAAAACAAAGTACTAATAAAAATAATAATCTTTTTGACTTGGAGTTCAAGAATCTGTGCTTGATGAGAAGTTTGAATAGTGTCCTTTCGAAACTGATAACGTGGCTTCTAGTTTTATGTGCGCGTTAGTAGTGGAAAAGAAGAAAACAATTCGGAAAGGATCATCTGTTGTTTGTTTAGCACTGGATTTTTCCTACGTTCAACCTGAGGTTTGATTTACACAGACGAGGGGATTCTGATTCTGTACGACGTTTGTTGTTTAGAGTTTCCAACATTTGTTTTTATGATTCAGGGTGGGATGCGGGTTTACATTTGCGATCATGATACCTCTCCTTCAGGTTCTTTTCTTCATCTTTACTTTTTTTTTATCATACGGGCTCCACAAATTGATGTCATACCATGTCACTCTTAACTTTTTTCTTGCCAATTGGAAATATGAGTGCCTTGATTTCTACAACATAGTGACTTTTACTTGTAGTTATTTCATATGCACGTTCTTTCCTTCAGGATATGTTTTTTCCTTCTCATTGGTGGTCATTATATTCTCCAACTTTGAGTGCCATGGTCCTTTGTTTTATATATTATGATTATGGTGTTATAATGCTAAGGGTTTCCTACCTCTGCTTGGATCTTAAATTTTTTCTGAAAAAGTGAAGGATGCTGTTAAAGCACATGTTAAGTTCACTTTCATTTTCCTTTCTGAGGAAATAAAAAGTTTCATAGTTCTCCAATGCTAATTAATATCATTGACAGGAAGAAATAAGTATTCTTTATTGTGTTACCTGTATAAGCTTTGTACATCATGGTCGCGATCAACAATAAGCAAAAGAAAAATGTAAATGTAACTGCTTGTTGTATTTTTACCAAATTCAAGGTCCAAACATTGTGTTAAATGGCTCCAGCTCCCTGGCGGAAGAACTAAGATCTTTTATTGCAGCTTCACTTATAATCCAAAATGTTTTGCTGGTGAAAATTAGGTCGCAAGTTCTTTAGCATCTGTATGTCCTTAATTTCTGAATCTTTACCTACTTGACGATGCATTTAGGTGTGTGATCATGCTTGCTCTTTCTTATGTTCAATTATGTGTTTATCTCTTTCACATTGATTCCTTGTGCTATATATAAATGGGGTATCTCTACTTGGTTCGTTGTCAGACAGCCAGCTTATAACGACGAACCAAACAAATATATTGATTAGGTCTCTTATGATTAAGAATCAAAAGGGTGATTCTAGCTCAAAAATTGGGAAAGGTACTGCTTCAAGTCAAGGTTCCAGGAAAAGGTAAAAAAGAGTCCATTTACTTTAGATTAGTAATTTGATGAATTTTCTCTTCAATAGTTAAGCTTAACTGTTTTGTATTCGCCTGTAATTGTTCTATTTATCTTTATGTCAGGGCTGCTGAGAAGGTTTTGGATGAAGCTGCTGGAAAGAAAGCCATGTCAAGCACTCAGCTCGGTTAGATTCACTTTAGAGTTGTCAGTCATGTAGTTAGATTAAATTGACCTGTCAATTACCTCTACACATGCATTTATTGATCTGCGTGTGCGAAACAATTCACGAGAATTTTTACCCTTCTGAAGCTTGGTTTTAAATTAAGGGTAATATTTGAAAGTTGTTTTCAGATGTGACAGTCATTCAGGAGCAGTTAAATGCTGTTTGAGTGTATGCTACATAGGATCTTGACTTGACCTCCTTTAAACAAGATGGAAGAGTTTGGAGCTTAAAGATGTCTGTGTGTGTGTGTGTGTGTGTGTGTGTGTTGTGGTTTCAATTCCTGATACAGTATTTTACAGTGTCTGTATATTAATTAAGTTAGGCCAAATTTGGATCCGAGAAATTCCGTCATTCAGACAACTTAATAAGCAATTTGTCAGCTTAGTTCTTGAAACTCAGGTGCATCATCTCTCTGATTGTTTCTGCAGTCACTAAAGAGGTGGATTTACATTTTTAATTTGTTAAGAAAATGGCAAATGCATGGTTAAGTTTTTACATGAATCAGTATGTGGTGCGGGTTGATGAAGCGTAAAAGAACCATGTTTGTCTCAGTTTCTGTAGCTTACTTTTGTTAGATGTTTTTGGAGGATAAAAATTTACCTTTTGGAAATTATATGTGTGCACATGCAGGGGGGTCATCACGCTTGTTCGACAAAGATCTGCAGAGCTATACAGTGGAGAGATTACGTGCTTTTCTTAAGGAAAGAGGTCTTACAGTGAAGGGAAAAAAGGCAAGTTACAGTCTTGTCATTTACCTCATTATATTACTAGTTACTACATTGGAGCATTTTTTTGCTGCTAGCAGTTGATTCTGCTTTCTTGCCTATCCTTAACTCTCTTTCTTATTGTTATTCTCTCTCTCTCTCTTTTTTTTTTTNTGAGTTAATCGCCCGCTTGAGAGGAGTGAATATCTAGAAAATTGAGAGGCTAATGTACCCTATAATACTACTGTACCTTCAGTGTTTAAGAAAGAAAGCCCTGTTAACTTAATACTATGAGGAAATTATTAATTTTGAGGTATCTTATCATACGTGCTGCATTTTATCAGTAAGTGTGCTAATAGAGTGAGATTTTCCTTGCACACTACCTAAGAGTAGTTTTCCTTGAACTGTAACTTTCATATTTCTTTCGATTCATGCATTGTATGGTAAGGTCATATTGCCACTTTATTAACGGATTGCATTAGCTGTTTTGACCAGCGGATTGCATTAGCGGTTTGTAAAAAAGTGTTTAGTAGAATTAGTTATTTTGATTTAGTTGTAAATATGTGAAATTACTTATAAGAACATGAACATACTTTATCATTCTTATTTATGTTGAACTTATAATTATTTAATAATTAATATTTTAAATATTTATTAAAGTGATTTTAAATATAATATAAATAATAATAAAATAAAAATATTTCTTACTTGAGTAAATAAGTTCACGTTATATAAACAAAGCCATGCGATTATTAAAAAAAATATGCATCTATTCTAATTAAGTATTAATATTAGTTCAATTAAAAAGATTACTAATTATTGATGATAAGAACATGTACACAATTAAATTTTTTATTTATTAATTTTTAATATTTACCGATACATAGNAATTAAATAGTGGCCCGGGATCATATGCTAATAATAACATATTTTTTCCAAATTCGCAAAAGAAAAAGCAAAACGCTGATGGCAAACACTGCAAATAACGTTTTTGCACTTTTGGCGTTTTGAGCACATAAGCTATTTTCAAAAGCTCTTTTACCAAACAACAAAACAATCAAGTTTAGCTTTTTTCATTTTGGTCAAAACCGCTAAAATAACGTTTTGGCAAAAAAGCCAAAAAAACAAACAGGGCCTTGTTTGCTTCATCTCTCGCCTAATTGCCCCATTATGAAAATGTGTTTTTGCGAATTAAACTAGTTTAACGGTAAAAAAAAAAATAATATTGGGTGTGGTTGGACTTTGTGGGATTTATGAGATAAATGATAGTAATAATTATTGAATTTATAATGATTTTATACATTTTTTTTATATCAAATAATTAACAAATTCAAAACTAAAAACTCGGCCTCCTCCCACACAAGAAAGCCGAGTACATGTTTACTTGCTCATTTAACTCCGTACTACAGTCAGATGAATTTTCAATTTTTGCTCTCCAAAATTCTCAACACCATCAGATTAATAGATTCCAAGGCAGTTCTTATCTTCAACTCAGGCTACACTACTGATGAAGTCATTAACAATAATTCAAGTCAATACTCTTGGAATTCTTTAAATATTTATAGTCAGGTTAGACGCTACCCACAATGATAAGGCTCGCTTCTCTACTAAAGTACATTAAGGTCAAAGTATTCCCTACAAAATCGCCAACAATAATTGGTTTCCAACCAAACAAAGAGAAAACCTCGGTTATAGTTATGCTTATTCGTGTCATGAAGAAGCATATGGCTAAAGATGATGCAGATCACAATCAAAATACCACCATTGAGCTTTGAGAATACGAGACACTTAAAGGACATAAATACAAACATAAAAACCAGAAAGTAGGATGATTGCTAACCAAAAGTGTCATATTTTCCATAATACTTCCAGGAAGGCATGAAAACCAAGTTGTCATAATCAAACCCACATATGTGCATGAATCTGCTTATCCTAACTGAGAAGCCTATGAATAGATTGAATCCTACAACCGATAAGCATATGAACAACAAAGTTTCTGTTGCCTCATAGTACTACTACTTAGTACAAAAACTACATTTAGTCCGAGAAAAGTACCTCCCCACCAGACAAATATTATGTAACTATTTGTTTCCAGCAACTTCACTACCAACAGCAGGTTTTCGATTTAGATACCGGATGACAGCATCTTCAGCCCTGAAACAGTGCACAGAAGGTAAATAGTACCTCAAAGAGAGATAATCATTTGCAGGATGACATGTAACAATTGAAACAAAATGAATGCGTGCAAATAGATGTCTTAATTATGTGTAAAGGATAGTATTTAGCTGACTGAACATTACATTAACAGGTCAGAAGCTTGGAACAAAACAATGGGCAGAGATAACAGATATATGTCATACAAAGTCACCACCAAGAAACTAGGGTCAGCATAATGACAAAAAATCATTACACCAGACATTCTCCTAAGGGCCAGAATAGCATTCGACACCAGATAACAACAATTTTAAGCCATCACGTAAATTTTTTGTATGGCACCCGGGGTCGTTAACGTAAATGACACTATTTTTATTAAGAAAAATACTATGAAACAATGAACATGCATAAACATACTTGAGAATAGCATATAGTTAAAATAAAGATCGTCGCTTTTGAAGATAAGCTATACAACATTAAGATCACAGAGGCTTAGCTCAACGGACCCCTAAAGAAATAATATATTTTTCTAATTTTTGTAAAGGTGAATATATTTTAAATGAGATTGGGGCGTGGAAGCAAGGTAGGGTGTCCCTCATTGGTTAGGTACCTCGCTGATTGAGCATAAAGAATATCTTTATGTGATGAAGATGAACATCGCAAATAAAAAAATATGCATTTTCAAAAAACATAACACAATAAATACCAAGGTTGATTGTAGAATTCTGCTCGGCGCTCTTTCTCCATATCACGAGTGGCATCAGCAGCAGCAAGTTTCAAATCTCTGGCTTGAGAAGCAATTAAGGTATTAATGAACTCCGCAGGTGACTGACTGAAACCAAGAAAAAACGATCGCCTGCGAAGATGTTCATGTATTTTCTTCACAGCAGAGGATATAGCTTCATCACAAGAGTCAATCTCTTTGTTCTTCTCTAAGTTTGTCAGGAAAGTTGACATTTCCTTCTCCAATACAAGAGGGACATCAACCAACACGTCATAACAAGTGTTTCCAACAGGACTACCCCCAGAAAGCTTGATCCTGTGCTCTAAATGTATGTGTCCAGGAGGAGAAAGATGGGGAGTTATCTTCTGCGGAACCATGGAGAATTTCAACTTCTCCTCCCCAAAAATCTTCCTCAATGGTGGATCACACATGAAAGAGGAAGTTTCACCGGGTATTTGTAACTTCCTCATCTTAATGTAGTGCCAAAAAGCCGTCATAATCCGTGAGCGCGTCTCCACCTCAATCCCAAGAACTTCTTGCAATGCAGGCGAAAGCTTAAATTTTTCAGGGGCATAATTCATCTCCAGTCGAACAATTGCAGTGAACTCCTTATCCCCTTTCCTCTTCACCTCAAACCCTTCATGAAGCACAGGCGATCGAGAACTCTCCCACAAAATTACGTGATTATCCGTATATAAACTCTGATCCAAGTACACAGTGATTTTCTTAAAGAAAGACGAAAACTTCGGGTACGAAGTGCTCGACGCTAGTCCTTGAAGCGCAGGATCTCTGCCATCTTCCAATATCCTCCCGATTATCCTGAGAGACCACGAAGGTGGCTCGACACTTTCCTTCTCCACATTTGTCCCCGTTTGATTAGCATAGGTGTTGAAAATGTAAATCCGCAGAACCTTCTGGGCACGCAGAGGATTTTTAAGTGATTCGATAATGTCCATCTTCTTCCTCGCAAGGGCAGCATCCACCCATGACTCGAATTCAAGCAACTGAGTGTAAAGGGCAGATTCTGGTAATATTGCCGAGACTTTCTCTGGAATCGCTTCATCCGGAAGTTTCCGTTTCCCTCTACGCACAGCAGGGGTCAATTCCATGGTTTTCATGGGGGAAGGATTTCCTTGACCAGATGAACCCCCAGAAGGCCGAGAAGCTGCTTTGGGAAGGCGCTTTCCAGATCCAGGCCCAGGTGTGGGCATGAGAGGGGATGAGATGCCGATATTAGTGTTAACCTGTGCTTGGGCTTGGGCCATGGCTTGTGACGGGTCATGGACAAATGCCTGGGCTTGAGGCTCTGAGGGTTGAAAGTGTCCGGGAAAGAAGGGTCTGCCTTGAGGTTGCGACTGAGATAACAGATGGGGCACGTGCTGTTGGTTGTGGTTTGCAGGCATTTGTATCTGCATTGGCATTTGCATGGCAATTTGCATTGCAGATGGATTGACCAAGCCGAAATTTCCCCTCCTCGGGTTGTTGTTGTTGATATTTTGATTATTCATTGAAACTTAATGCTCCTTCACATTGACAACACGCCCCAGCAGTTCTGTGTTTTTGACGATTTTTAATCAATTCAAGAGTAAGGGAACGAGTGGGCAATACACTGCAGAAATTTTTGGACTGTCATCAGAATACCTATTCAATTTCCTCAAAGTAAGATACAAATTTTTATGCTACTTTCAAGCATGTTCAGTAGATCTAGATAGAGCAGTAAACATAATGGTAAACGTAAAGAAAGAAGGTTTCAAGAACAGCTCAAAACAGATTAAATGTTTTGGACCTAAATGCTCTTTGCGATCGAATTTACAGGATTACGGACCTTTACTCATCAATTTCTTCATGGAAAATCGATCTATGAAGCGAATTTTGAAAATGAAACCGCTTGTGTGAGCAAATAAGAAACCCTTACAAGCTACAGCGAGCATAAGGAGCATTTTTCTGTACTATTTAAACCCCATTCGAGCGAGTAAACAAAGGACAGGACAGGAAAACAATTAGAACAACAAACAACAAGAAACAGCACAACGATACGAGAGAGAGAGAGAGAGAGAGAGAGAGAGGGCTTACGCGAGGTGGGAAAATGGTGAAGGGTTTGATGTTCTGGCAATTTGATGATGTGAAATTTGGGGTTTTTGCGTTCGTATAACAATT